GCGACGGCGCCGGCGCACTTTCGATTCGTCGCTAGGCGGCACAGCTGAGTTCTACGAAAAGAGCACAAGGAACTCGATTTGCTTCGCCTCTTGGCTTCTTTTTCACCGAAACATCTGCTCATCACAACTGACACAAAAGACAACGGCCCCCCTTCACACAAATCAAAATCGCTATCATGAGAAAATATGCGAGAGAGAGAGAGAGAGAGAGAAAGAGATTTACCATTAACGTCATTGATATGAAAGTTTAAAAGGTCATAGTTCATGGTCAAAACTACACAAACAAACTCAATACTGATAAACTATGCGAAAAAAGTGCTACCATTTACCTTTAGTCGACCTTCTCGTTGCCGAAAATCGTTACAGCGCGCTGAACCAATAATTGTTCCACCCTGTAATTATCCTCGTGAAGATAGTTTTCAATAGAGCTCTTCAAAATAACGAGTAAAAAATCTGATTATATGAAATGGACAGACTTTCTGAATGATGTCAGACACGGAGTTCCAGCTCGCTTCGACGATATTGTCACCTCCATCGACCATTCCTTGGTAACCCTCATTGATAAAGAACACTTTACAGCCGAGATATATACCCATACGAACTACCGATCGTACAGCGCTGTTCATTCCTATGAGATACCCGTTGCAGAACACTACTTCATGAGAACTGGTAATCTCAAGAACCTTTTTACCTTGAGAGTCACCTCCAGATGTGAACACTGCAACTCCGCGGCCCTTATAGAGGTTGAATTGGATGTCGGCACCTTCTCGGCCAGCCGTCGGTACAATCGAGTCCAAACGACGTATATTTCTTTTGAGGCTCATTGCCCGCATATCGGGTAGGGGACCTGGGGCTTCTTCAGCCCCAGCACGTCCGTCCATATCCTGATACAACAACATAGTACACATTAAAAGTACTTCATACGAAAACAACGGCGAAGAATTACCTCATATTGAAAGGCATTCACCTCATGATGAGGATTTTGTTGATCATTCATAGTTAGTTATTGAGCAGTAATTTACATGGACGGACAGTCAGACAATATGTTAAAGTGAGTTGTGCGGGGTTATGGGCGGGTACCCGAGGTGGGAGGGGTGGTGATGGTGGTGGAGAGAAGGGAGTGCGCTGATGCAATCCACGATGGGCGGTGATTCAAAGAATTTGAGGCGGAGAAATGGCATGGAGACGCCCAGCGCCACAACGAGGCTAGGAGGACTAAGCCAAAAAAGCAAGTGCTCGAGGGATATCCCTCAGGGGATGTAATTGGCATGACAGGACATTGATGGGTCCTACTCCATCACAAGCCTACCCACACGCGACCGTAAAACCTCATTCAGCAATTGTTCATTACTCCTCCAATAACAATGAAAAAGGGAAATATCAAAGAAGCAGGAAAGGGAACCAGATTACTCGACAAAACTACATGAGTAGTACCAGTAATAAGATCCTGTTTTGACAAAAACTGAATCAGCCAGGAATCTGACAAACAGGCACCCAGCAACATTGGAAGCTAACAATATTGCGAGTGATGGAAATGAAAAGGAAGAAGATAAGAGTGCATGAAAAGTATGAGAATTTCGTCATCAAGGAAGTAGTAACGGGTGTGAAAGCTGACTGGTAAGCATGATCGATCACGTATTATTGCACAAACAGAGCTTATCGTACTATGAACAACGCGAGACGAAACAAAAAGTTCAATCTCAGTAGAATCATAAGAGTTCCACACTAATTATAATCACAATTTTGTGCAAAAAGTTATGAATTTACGACAAAATGCAGACGTAGTATACCACTACACATGGTACAATGTCAGAATTACAATTCCTTGATATTTGTCATTTCCTTGGACCAGCGGTTATTGTTTTATTTTTGGAATATTCATGTCATTTCCATCAATCGGATGCTTTTCTATTTCCTTAGGAGAGAAAGAAGTTATTGATTTATTTATGGAATATTTATGCACCTTCCTTCAATTAGATGTTTTCAGCCCCTCGAGAATATATTACCATCTATTCGTGTAGCCAAATTTGCCATATAAAAATATTCTCCATCATAAATATTATATGAGATGGTGGAAAATTTGTACTGAAAACAGCGGGAAACATGAGAGGTCGTCTCACATTACATATCCTGCTCTTGTCACCCAGCACATTTCATCCTCGAGCAGCTGAGCGAATGTTCTATCTGTTGTTTGTTTGAAAATTTATTATGTAAGAAAGGCGTAGTTCCAACACAGTTCTGTGCATTTCGAGAACAGCTCTATAATAACTTCAGTATCTTTATTACCAAAATATGCCCACAAAGCCCCTGAAGGGGGCCTTTTCTAAACGAGGTCAGCTGTGTCGTGTTCGGACGCCGATAACGCCGGGTCTGCCTTCGTCGGGTGAGAGACGCAGGCAAACAAGGCATGAAAGTCGATGGAAATCCCCAATGTACGTTGTGCTCTGATTACCACGGTACGTTGAACTAAAGCCTAGTCTTTTTCCAGCTCTAATCGCGACCCCTAACTGGCAATAACACAACAAAACATGGAAAAAACCGTTATAAAGTAGTTTAACAATACCTACCACAAAAGTCATTGTCAATTGATCCGACAAGGCCAACAATCTGAATGTTGGGGTAGCTTTTTGCAGTTTCAGGAGATACCTGGAATTAGCCTTCATTATCAAAATTCACTTCTTCATTCAGTTATTCAGAGATTTCTAACTTTTTTCAAGTCCACCAGTTCCTGGATGAGGCCAGGCCAATCTTTACGGAACTGATTAGCACCAGTAAGTGAACCATCACCACCAATGCATACCAAATTCGTAATGCCTTTCTCAATAAGGTTGTATGCAGCCTGAAAAGAACAGCTCTTGAACGAGTTATTGATTACCGGCACTTATAGCACGTGCCAAAAACATGAGCACTTTTCCCCCTAATCGTTATCAGTGCGGACTCGTTTTTTGTTCTCTCACTTCCAACTCTCTATCTGTTTATGACAACAGTTTCGTACACATGACTAATCGCCTTCGTTTCAGCCCTTTTTCAACCATATAGATCAACAATGCTTTTTGCTGTGTGTCGTCAAAGACGTAAGGCACGACAATTTTGTACTCGGTCGAAAATGACAGCAGGGGTGCCAAACAGTGGGGAAAATGGCGAAAAAGCGAGAAGAAACGGCTAAAAAAACGTTTGTCCTATATAACCGAGAAAGCGATTTGGGACGAGTTTCCCGCTGATATCGCGCCAATAACCGCTACGGCAGATATGGATTCATTCACGTACACACACATCCAAGCAGCACCGCAGTTGCTTCATATCAACCCCTTCGCTTCATACTGTACTTCGCAAATGAAGCTATCAGCATGGTCTCAGGATATCTGTCAACCGCGTAGCTTTCCTCTCCCTTCATTTTACCTTTCTCCTTCCTTCTTTTTCTTCCTTTCTTCTCCCTCATCCTCATTATTTTCCTTCCTCTAAATGCTCGAACAGAAGATGCGATGAGAAAACACCTCTGGACCCTCACAGCGAGAGAGCATCCGGTTGACAGATGCCTTGTAACCGCATCAGCATCGGTCGGACATTTGTGGGCGGGCGGGCGCGGTGGGCGTCCGGGTCGGTATGTTGCAGCTTGATAGGGCGCTATAGGGGTACCTTCGTTGGAAAAGGTGCGTTGCAGCGCCGGGTCAGGGGCAGTGTGATCTGCCCTGTTAGGCTATCTTACACATCTTGTGGACTAATCGTGCCACTTGCCTTTGAAGAGCCCCCCTCTCCGAACCAGTCATAGCGCGATTCATAGTCCTTCCTTGTACATGCAGTCTGGTCCGCTATTCCCAAAACTGTCCCACTTTCATGGCTTCACAGCGTGTGATGAAGGCGCTACGGCCTTTCGAAGTGGCAGTTCTGACGCCTCCCTAATTGCCCCGCCCACTAAAACTCTATTTCCTGTCACGAATTCAAATTTTAGACCGCGATTTTTGCTTTTTAGTGTTACATGGTCTCAGCATTAGATAACGCGAAGAGACGACCAGTGAGCCAGAGGCGGTAGGATTTCCCCTTGCTTACATAAAACCAGCAGGTCTGAAGAACTCGTACAGTGAGGATGTCAGGGGGACCTTGTAGTGTTCCCCATGATTTTTTTTTGCTTTTCCCATCCCTGGAGAGTCGCTTTGGCTACAACTTTGTGACTGAACGCCACTATCCACAATATGCAAGCGCTTTAGCCTTCGAGAGCACTAAAGTGTCCAGTGTTTTCAAACCCCAGTATTTGATAAGCGCGCGCGTTTCCTTGACCGGTTTTTATTCTCGACCAAATTGACCTTGGAACTCCAGTATATCTATAGCAGTAGTAGTGCAGCAATAAATCTAATCTCAAACTCATTACATAAGGGGCGAATCAATGGGCGTAGTCCGAGCGCATGAGAGATTGAGCAGCGCTGAAAAAAAAAACAACAGAGGAAACTCGACGCGACGGCGCCGGCGCACTTTCGATTCGTCGCTAGGCGGCACAGCTGAGTTCCACGAAAAGAGCACAAGGAACTCGATTTGCTTCGCCTCTTGGCTTCTTTTTCACCGAAACATCTGCTCATCACAACTGACACAAAAGACAACGGCCCCCTTCACACAAATCAAAATCGCTATCATGAGAAAATATGCGAGAGAGAGAGAGATTTACCATTAACGTCATTGATATGAAAGTTTAAAAGGTCATAGTTCATGGTCAAAACTACACAAACAAACTCAATACTGATAAACTATGCGAAAAAAGTGCTACCATTTACCTTTAGTCGACCTT